CTGATAAAATGCGTTCCATTCGGCGAAGTTTCCAGAAATACCTGCATTGTAATTTCCGGCAACCTAACCTTAGCAGTGGCTACAGTTGACGGAGTATCGTTTGAGCTGAGCGAGTGGGAGGGTAACTTTAATGCTTCCATCTTATGCTGCAGTCCAGCTAGTGTAGAAAAGTATTTTTTCTCCATGAGTGCTCTGTCTTCTGTTTCAGAATCGTTTCGATCGGTTTCATCGATTTCTTCAATCTGATCCATCACCTCTTCATACTTCAGATAACATGATTTCAATTCGGTGTGTCTGAGTTGAAACTGGAGACCGTCAGTTTCTGCATCTGCGTTTTCTAGCAGCCAGTTTACTATTCTAGTAATCTTGGCCTTCAGCGGCTTCCTCTTCTTCTTAAGATCTTCCATTTCGACTTTAACAAACACCGAATTCTTTAGAGAAATTAATGTTTCTATTATATAATAATACGTGTATCACACGGCGAGAATAGAGTGAGTAATGTTTATATTATATAATAACATGTATAGCACACGACGAGAATAGAGTCAATAATGTTTATATTATGTAATAGCATGTATAGCACACGGCGAGAAAGTTTATAGTTTACTAGAACGCGGTAAAACGTTTTAAATCACACTGAGAGTTTATTTTTGCAATTAAATTTTTGGCTTCTTCTTCTTCTTCTACTTTTTGTAGATCTTTCGATCTGTTTAATTCTGAAGCTGCCTCTGGTTAATTTCTTGGGAGGTAGATTGCCAACTATCCCTCCATCTTTTAGGTGGTCTTCCGGGGGGTCTTGAACCGGGCGGATTGTTTTCTAGGGCAATTTTTGGGAGTCTATTCTCATCCATTCGTCTTACATGGTTGTACCACATCCTCTTGCGCTGCCTTCCCCATCTTACAATATCTTGAATTTTGCACTGCTCTCTAATGTTTGTATTTCTCGCTCTGTCTCTTCTTGTTTTCCCCATTATTGTTCTTAGGGTTTTCATTTCGGCAACCCTTAGCATCTGTTTCGTTTTGTTAGTATCTTCGCGCACTTCTATGCCATATGTCATGATCGGTCGTATGCAAGTCTTATAGATTCTAATTTTACTATCTGTGCGCATATACGGATTTGACCAGACTATCTCCCGCAGACATCCTGACAGTGCAGATGCTTTGTTGATCTGACTCCTCAGGTCCTTTACTGGGTCGTGGGTGCTTGATATATCTATGCCCAGATATCTGAATTGCATCACCTGTTCTATGGGGTTGTCCTCAACCACTAACTTACATCTGAGCGGATCTTTTGCTATTGTCATACATTTAGTTTTGTTGGTAGAGATGTTCATATTTAGTAGTCGGCTTGTTTGAAAGAACTGAAAGAGCTGCCTTTGGAGATCATCTTCTGATTCGGCAATAATTGCTGCATCGTCTGCGTAACACACCATACCAATTCTTTTGTTGCCCATTCTATATCCGAGATTAAGAGATGTTACTTTGTTGATAATTTTGCACATGAGAAGATTAAATAAGAAGGGGCTTAAACTGTCGCCTTGTCTAATTCGTCCCAGTGTTGGAATATTTTCAGTGAATTCGTCTCCTGCTCTAACTTTGGTTACGTTGTTGTTATTTAGTTTATGGAGTATCTTTGTTATACTGGTCGGTGTTTCATTTTCTATTAATATATTTAGAATGTCTCCCAGGTGAACTCTGTCAAATGCCTTCGTCAAATCAAGCAAATATACGCTGGCATGCCGAACTCTATAGCTTTTTCTTTTATTTGTTTTATTATAAATACTGCGTCTGTTATAGACCGCCCTTTTGTAAAACCTTGTTGTTCTTCAGCATTAGTGATTTTCTTTTCCAATTTGTCCTTGAGAATACCCGTGAAAAGTTTCATTGTTGTATTTAAGATTTAATTTTTGGCACTCCCGGTAAATGTCAACAAATGTCTACAGATACATTTTTAAAGAGATAGTCGTTTCGAAAAGCGGTTCACCCTGTGCATAAGAGTAGTTATAATATGGAAAAATCTCACCCAATTTGTCCAGTAGTTTACAGCAACAGGCACAAACACCATAGAAACTTCCCTTCTGTCCTTTTGTTTTAGAGTTTATCGCGACATATTAGTTTTTCGAGAGTCTTTTAACCACATTGAGATAAATATCCGAAACGAGTTAAGTACAAACCACGCCAACACCAAACACAAAATCCGTCGAGTTAAGGACCAAAAACAATGATGGAATTTCGTCTGATTTCCACCAATTGTTGGAGGGAAAGCTTATTAAATTCCTTTCCCCGTGCGTGTACAGTACCAAATATTTTAGGACCATGGACTGTAAAAGAGTTTCCATCGATATATACAAGCAGACTTCACGGCGATGGTTTAATAGGGGTTGTACTTGAAGAAAAAAAAGCCTAATTAATCGAATCTACACATTTAATAACGAGAGAATATTTACAAAAGCACTAATACTAACGAAAGAGTTCGCTTTGGAACACCAATTAAAAACATTAGATATGCGGATGATACTATCATAATAGCAGACAACCTACAAGACCTCCAAAAGCTAATAAACAAGATATTTAGTTGAGTATGGAGAAGAATATGGATTATCAATAAACACCAAGAAAACCAAATTTATGAGGATATCAAAAACCCAAAATTTTGGTGAAAGCCTGACAATTAGCGGTAGTGTAGTGGTGGGCTTCATAGTTCCTTTCTAGGAACTAGTTCCTTAGATCTAGTTCCTAAAAAGGAACTAGTTCCTGGAACTAGTTCTTTGGAACTATGACTAACTTTGCGATCGGATCGGTATGATCAATCTTGATATGAATCGGATCGAGTGTTTAGGTTCGATATTCGACATCACAAATAAAATAAAAGTAAAATATGGTAAACGATGGGAAACTAAATTCGAAGGCATTGGTTTAAATAATTATTTCACGAAAATAACGAAGTGGTTTTTTACTTTATCTAAACATATTTTGCTGAATTTTAAATCAAAATGCTATTATTTTTCTATGATTGTTGATTTGTTATTTATTTATTTTCTCTCTAAGAATTTTTTTTTCTTCAAAGATTTATTTATAAACAAAATCTGTGCGATGTTAAACACATTGTAAGTATATATTTATATACTTTACTTACATAGCAATTTTTTTCGACATAGAAGACAGGAAGTCGTAAAATTTAATTATATTGTTGGGTGTAAGAACTACATTCATTTTACATATTCCCAATTGTCAATACAAGCACGTGAAAGACAAACAGGATCATACTGATGTGTATCATATGATTTTTAAAAATATGAACTTTTGAAACTATAAGCGTAAGAATTTCTTAAAATTTAATCATTAAATCACAATTAAACTAAACTCTAAAAATATCATGACCAGTAAATAATTTAACAATAACTATAACATAAATATAACACGGCTACTACACACAATTATAATAAATTAATCTAAGCACAGTATAATGTATGTACCTACAAGCTGAAGTTACAGCCAACGATCAAGCATCGCATACCGGACCGATCTCGTTTTCGTCGATCGAAGAAATACTTAGAGATGCAGTTCGCGCACAAATGACGGTGTCAAATAGAAGATCAGGAGTGACGTTAATAGTTCCTCGGAACTAGTTCCATTTAATTTTCGGAACTATTTCATTTATAATATAAAATGAACTAGTTTCAGGAACTAGTTCGTTCCGGAACTACCCACCACTACGGTAGTGCTTTAGAACAAGTTGAAAACTACCACTATCTTGGCACAATAATTAATCACACAAACGATTACTCCAAAGAAATCAAAGTTCGAATAGAGAAAGCACGTACAAACTTCAATAAAATGAGAGAGGTACTTTTTGCAAGAGAACTAAAATTGGACTTGAGAGTTAGGCTGGCAAGGTGTTATATTTTCTCGACTCTGCTTTATGGGATGGAAGCATGGACACTTAACGCGTCGACTGCTATAAAGTTGAAACCATTTAAAATGTGGGTGTATGAAGAATCCTGAAGATATCATGGACCGAGCATGTAACAAACAACGAAGTCATGAGAAGAATCAACAAAAGAATGGAAGTATTGGAAACCATCAAGACACGAAAGCTGCAATACCTGGGGCATGTTATGCGTAATGAGAGATACAACCTACTTCAATTGATTAAACAAGGGAAAATCCAGGCCAAGAGAAGTGTAGGAAGAAGAAGAATCTCATGGTTGCGTAACTTAAGGGAATGGTACGGATGCACATCAGTTGAACTATTCAGAGCAGCAGCATCTAAGATCAGAATAGCCATGATGATTGCCAACCTCCGTCGCGGAGATGGCACGTGAAGAAGAAGATACCGGCGTTTTAGGGGCGCGCGAACTATCGAGAAAACAAATGCATTTCACTGCATTTTGGAGGTGAAGATAGCTTAAGACGCTTAGGTACAGGCAAATACCGCACAGCTTGTGATACTAAAAACATCTTTTAAAGATTTTGGCTTGAATATTTATCTAAAAGTGTCGACAAGACGGCGTCGGTTTACAACCCAAAGACAAAAAGTACAGTCTGTAGCATAAGATCCAAGCCAATATTTGTGAGAACGAAAAATTAAGCTAAAATTAATATAAAATGTTTTTACAACACCTAGATCTTATCTGTTCCGAATCGAATCTGCTTCTCCTAACGGTTACTACACTTCACTTTACATTACTGAATTCCCGAAGACAAATAACGAATAACATAAACGAATTTTAAGAAGAAAATCCGGACTCAAACTATAATCCCTAGTTCGGATATTAGTTTAACTGAAAGAGGGGTTCCTCAATTAATGTGCCAAGGATATTTTTATTACTTTAACATATTGTTGGGTCTTCACATCTTGTAAACTCAGAATAGTTAAAAAAGCTAAAGTTTATTTCGTTGTGCCCTTATTTATAGTGTTTTTGTGGATTCTTTCATCATTAATATTATAATACAATTTTATGCCTGCAATTGTATCATTAAATAATAATATTTTTCAGCTCTTCTGAAAACAACGAGAAGACAAGGACAGAAAAGTCAAAACACAAACACGAAAAAATGTCTAATTTAAAAACAAACACATCTATTATTCCAATATTCCCTAAGCAGCCCTCGAAATCTCAGAAAAATGTTAAAGGCAATAAATACGAAAAATTTAATAAATATGAACAACAGAGATTGCTAGAAAGTAAGAGATCTAGAAGCAGCTCTAATTCAAGAGAAAGAGTTAGAAAAAGGCCGAGGTCCGAATCGGAGGACGAGGAACTTGCTGAAATTAGAAAAAGAAGGCAAAGATGTGAAGCGGAGTTTGCTGAAATATCTAGAAAATTGGAATTAGGTAAGGTTGACTATTAAAAATAAACTATAAACTTAAAGAAATAAAGAAAGAAAGAAAATTGTAGTATATAGTTAGACAAAAGAAATTTACGCTACATTTATGCTCTCGTGTATAATATATTAGGTTTTATAAATAAAAAAATCATGCGTTAATGTAAAAGTATACAACACACTTCTCTTGTACTTGTCCAGTATAAAATATTTAGTTTTTTCGAATTTTCTTTCGAATCGATAAAAATGTCGAATTGCTCAGTGGCACATATTATTAAAGGGCGTTTTTACACGATTCGATCGTATATCGGACATCGAAATTTACATTCAAATTTTATTAAAGTAGTCGACTACCTACAAGCCATCCTTGAAGTAAAAATATTTGGAAAGCGAGATCCAATAAGAAAAAGAACATCCTGGTTGAAAAACTTCAGAACCCGGTTCAACACAACATATTATGTGCAGCTTTTTCGCGCTGCTCCAGATAAAACAAAGGTTGCCGTGAAGATCGCCAACATTTATCAGAAATATTAGCTACTATAGGTAATGGATTTTAACAAGAGCTATGACCTTGAAAATAACAGGTAAACTTGTGTACTGAATCGGCACGACTCATAGCTCTTGTCAAAATCCATTACTTCTAATACATTCTAACATCGACATCTATTATTTACCGTTGCCAAAAACTAAATAGAGCTATAGGTAGTGACGGGAATTTCGGGTCATCTTTGAGATTCGGCTCACCGGTTCCGGCTCACTTAAGAGGACCGAGTCACTTTATGAGGTGACGGGTCAGTTGGGTCATCAGAGATTATATACAAACCAAAGTTATAATTTACTTAAAAGAATCAACTGGACGACATATGTATATATAGTAATGCTATAATTTATTTCAGTACATTTTTTCAAATTATAACTAATAATTTTATTCATTGAAATGTACACCAGTACAAATTTATACCAGAAAAAAGTAAGACAAGTAATCAAAATAATACAAATAATATTGTTTCTAGAAAGTACCCCACTATCGAGAATTAAGCAGGACGGACTAGACAATTTTATAGTAAATATTAAACTTATACCTATTGGTAAATCTAAACAATTTGGTGATCAATTGATAAGGATGAGAGTAAAAGATTTTAAGCTTTTTTTGATTATGAAAGACATAAATTGTGGAAAATTCGTTAAAATTATCTGTACTGGATATACTATGCCAGCCTAAAAACCTTAATAGATAGCTTAATACCACAAATCTTTACTAAAATCAGTAAGTATGTTAAGCAAAAGATGTACAAATACTGTGTATTACTACAAAGAGTTGGACGTCCATTAATAATAAAAACTTTGGAACCATTATTGCGAATTGGCTTGATATTAGTCATGAACATGGATCATTGAAACTTTGCTCAAATGTATTGCAATGTATTGGGTACAAACATCGTCACACGGCTATAAACGTATGTAGCCTTTTGCAAAAAAAATCGAAGAGTGGGAAATTAAAAATAAAATAACAGTTATAATAAATGATAATACACATTATGTACTCTTAACAACGATCCTTCTCCTCGGATAGATAGTCCAATATATTGCACTGTATTGGGTACAAACATCGTCACACGGTTATAAACGTATGTAGCTTTTTGCAAAAAAAAATCGAAGAGTGGGAAATTAAAAATAAAATAACAGTTATAATAAATGATAATACACATTATGTACTCTTAACAACGATCCTTCTCCTCGGATAGATAGTCCAATATCAAGCTCCTCAAGTAGCCAGGAAAGTTTTTAACCTCAACCGCTTTTATCACTGTACCCCATTGCAGTGAATTGAAGGCGCTCCTAACATCTAGCAGAAGCAAGCTAGCTCCATATTCAGCATTCGGTACACTTACTTCCACCACTGCATCAGCCATGCTATCATTTTTACGAAATCTATACTGTCTAGATAATAAGCCTCCAGACCTCTCAAATACTTCATCGATTCATCGATCGACCGAAGAAGGAAACAACACCAACCACCAAAGGAAGGTTCAGGGACATCAGCAATGAGCTGAATGAACTAGTCCAAGAAAAAAAAACTGGCAAAGAAGAAGAACCAACCAGATAAGGAACCGAGAGAACAAAATAATTGCTAGCTAAATAGTGAAGTCATAAGACAACTGGAGCTGCACAGGAACGACAACTGGGACAATTATATCCCGCAACTTCTTAATAAATCTGCGTTCTGGAAGATTTCAACACTAGACAGAAGACGTAGACATAACTACCACTCCAATAGGTATTTAGAATTCACATAAGTATATATGAGAAGCTGAAATCTAAGTAGTAAAAGGGGTACAATAGGACTTACACATACTTCCCCAGATAAGATCAACGAGCTAATCAAAATTAGCAACGCAAAAAAGACTTTAGGACCAGACAATATAACTAACAAAGCCTTAAAAAAATCTGCCAGCAATCTGTACTTTCCTGAAATATAAAAAAAGGCTTACGTTATAATGATAGAAACCACAGGAAAAAACCGAACTTTTACACAAAAACTACCGGCCCATTTGCTAAATTGCATAACGAATTATGTTAGCAAGGTTAAAAGAGGAGTTCGAGATGATAGAAACAATAGCTGAAGAGCAGTTGGGATTCAAAAGTGAACGTTGATACAAACTGCAGTTATTGAGACTAGGTGAATACATCTTAAAAGGGTTAAGGGAGCGAAAATATGCTGCAGCCGTCTTTCTTAATATCAGCAAAGCCTTTTGACATAGTCTGGTATGAAGGCTTGCTCTATGAAATACGTAAAATGCAAACTAATTTGGATATAGCGAAGCAATGATATGTTTTCTCTCGTCGTATCTGGCCAACAGAAGGTTCAAAGTTTGCATAGGACCAACACTATTTAAGGTCGGAAACATGAAAGCTGGAATGCCACAGGAAGTGTTGTTGTCGCCGTACCTATATACAATTTTTAAGGTCGATACCGAGCCTGTACTCGGTATCTAAATTTCTAAATCCAAATTGTGTGTCACTTATGTCCTGCTCAAGTTTGTTGTGTATTATTCGGTGTATAATTTTTAAAAATATTTTGAGCGTATGACTCATTAAACTTATTATGCGGTGGTCTTGCCATTCTTTTGCATTTGTTTTTTTTTTGGTAGTGTTATGAATGTTGATATCAGCCAATCTCTGGGAATGATTCCTGTACTGTATATTGTATAGAATAAGTCGACCAATATTCCAATTTGCTGTTCTTCTATTAACCGTATTATGTCTACAGATATTTCGTCATGACATGTTACCTTGTTATTATTTGTTCGCTTTATCGCCTCTAATAACTCATCTTCTGTTATGCCATGGCCGTTGTCGAACTTTTCCTGCTTTAGTACTATCTCAGTCCGTTCGTCTTTAAATAGCTCTTGAATATATTCCTGCCATCTTTTAAGCCTTTCACCGACGTCTATAATTATTTTGCCGTTTTTATCCAACAGTATGTTTGATTTTTTCTTAATATTAGAGCCTGTTATTTCGCTAATTTTTTTTCTTCTTCTTCTTAAAGTGCCCTCTCCTCAATGGAGATTGGCTACTACAATTTTAAACTCTTCTCTATCTTCAGCTGTTCTTATTAGCCGTTCAAAATTTAGCCCTGTCCATTGTCGGATGTTTCTGAGCCATGATATTCTTTTCCTTCCAAGGCCTCTCTTTCCCTCGATTTTTCCTTTCACTATAAGTTGGGCATATTGGTACTTATTATTTCTCAGTATGTGGCCTAGGTATGATGTTTTTCTTACTTTTACTGTGTTAAAAAGTTCTCTTTCCTTGCCTATTCTATGCAGCACTTCTTCGTTTGAGGTATGCGATGTCCATGAAATTTTGAGTATTCTCCGGTAGATCCACATTTCAAAGGCCTCCAATTTATTTACGGTTGATGTTTTAAGGGTCCACGTTTCAACTGCATATAGAAGAGTCGACCAGACGTAGCATTTTGATAAACGTAGTCGAATTTTTTTATGAAGGTTTAAATGATCATGTTTTTCCACCAACTGTTCAATATCTTCGCATCTGTCACTGTACCATCTTTCCTTTGCATCTCTGATCTTTCTCCTTATTTCTGTGTGTATATTATACATGTTTTTGTCTTTGGTTTTATAGGATCTTCTTGCTTCCATGAGATACAGAATCTCATCGGTTATCCATTCATTTTTGTTCTTGATCAGCTTAGGTGTTAGTGTTGTCTCACATATGAGTATAAGAGCATCTTTTAATATATTTTATTTCCTGTTCGCATCTTTAGTAGGAATAATTTTTATTTTGGTAAGCTCTTCTTTAATTTTTAGTGTAACTTGCTCTTTCGTTGATGGATCTTTCAAACGGGATACTTGTATCCTCTCTACTTTAGTTTTAGCCACAAGCTTTTTTAGATTATTTCTTCACCTTCCTACAACTGGGTTGTGATCTGATCTCACATCAGCTCCGGGGTATGATTTTACTGATTTTATGGAATTTCGGTTTCGTTTGCAGATGAGAAGGTAGTCAATTTGGTTTCTGATGACGTTATGTTGGTCCTGTCCTGACGTTATGTTGGTCAATAATCCTGTCCAATACTCCAATTAAATGGGCAAATAATTACAAATACCTTGGCAATATGTTAGATAAAAAACTAACTTTTACCGAGCATGTCAACTAAACGATACATAAGGCCAAGCTTCTTAGGAGTCTACTCTCGTCACTAATATGGTGAAAAAGTACACTAAAGTTCAAAACAAAGATCAAAATGGCAAATGCTATAATTCTATCAACCCTCACATATGTCTTAGCGGCATAGGGTCACACGTGCAAGTCAAATCAGACAAAAATTCAAACCGCGTTATACTTCATCATTATGGAGGCTCTGAATCTTCGTAGATACGTACCTTTAAAGTACTTATTTAATGATTCTCAACAAAAGAGAGTCCTGGAACTGATTAACGAACGTGCACATGAAATCTTTAACAACCTTAGGAACCATCCGATCCAAACACTAAGAGCATTAACAGACAACGATCCAAGCGTAAAGACGGTATACAGACGGCCCAAAAAATCGCTTGACACCCTGAGATAGCCACATGACACCCTAACAACGCAATAACAGAAGAACCAAAAAACACAAAAATAACAAAAAAATAACAAAAAATACAAAAGATCACTGCTCATTAAAAAACCAACATTTACCACTCCTAATTGTTTTATTTCTTTAATTTGGTTATGTTTATTTTTCTTTTACTAATCATTTACACTAAAAAATCCAAAAAACCCCATAAATATATACATGGGGTGTATGAGGGCCGTATACACCTGGGAATGCACACCACCCTGTATACTTTTTTCTTTCTATTAATATTTTACCTCCACCTTAACTAACAATCTTTTGTTCACAGCAGCCTTCGAAACTACAGATCAAGTTAATGTCGACGATGTTTTCACATATACACATAAAGATGCTTTTAAGACAAGAGGCCCATTAGGCAGACTAGCTTATCAGGCAGGTTGAATAAAGCTACAGCCGCGAAACTTGAGTAACGAGGCCACGTGTGACATTTTTGGATAGAGACTTCAACTTCAACAGACAAGTCGTTGATGCCTTTCTATCCGAAACACACACGCATTTAGGGACCAAGTCCCAGAGTCAAAATATAAAATTAAATTAAATCATGGGGGGGGGGGGGGAAAGCTCTCCTTAAGCTACTAAAATTAGATGGCCTGAATACTACTAAGAAAAACAGAGGATGTTTGATTACCCAGAGCATCCAAAGCAATATCTAGTGCATAAGCCCCACAAGGATCTACAGACCGAGAGTTTGGTACAAATTCCACGGCTTCGCGCAATCGTACTTGTAAGTTCGTGAACTAGTCGACTGGAGTTACAATTTGCCAAATTTAAATGTAATCGTTTCTACTCATTCACATTAATATTATAATGTATAATATATTAAAGTTTTTAATATTGGTAATATTATTAAAGCTAATGGTTGTTGATTTATATGTCAATATATATGTTTTAAACTAGTTTTGTTTTATTTTTTGAGAAAAAATAAAAACACAGAATCTTGTTTGAAATAATATTTTACAGATAGTTTATAAAATTGCTTAGTCGACATTCTAAACGCTCAGTAAATAATAAAAAAAATTACTTGTAATAATAACAAAATATTTTATAATTACCATTTTAAAAAACTCTCCATAAAAAAAATA